TATATATATAGGACGTGGGTTGAAGCAGAATTCCTATTGCATAATAATGCTAATTTAACATAAAAAATCAATAATACCGGTAATGTCAATTTATTCAAAATTTGAAACATAAATCGTCAAAATACCTCATTTTATTTTTTTGGTCAGCCACCTTTGTTTGGATCAAAAACTTATGTTGATGTCATAGAATTCATGGAAAAACAAAATGGCCATCAGTCAGGCATGTTGGATCAAATTAACAAATCGTTGTGAAATGCATCAATTACTCATTACAGTTGATCCTTCCACCAACTCATAGATACCCAAGATCTGGTTATTACACTGGTAATATGTCAAAGAACCTCATTTTTTTATCTTGTCAAAATACTAACAACCATGTTGATTTTGAAAAGAGTGATCTATGATGTCAAAAGGGTCAAATCTTCTAGGTCATAAAGATGGCAACCTGACGAAGGGCGGATATTACTCCCAGCATTGGAAAGACGTCGTTGCCATGTTTTGTCACAGAGAGAGATGATTACCAGATGAGTTGGCAGTGATTTTTCCTAAACTGAATTTATTGCTTTCTAAACCATATTGAGACCATGAATGAATGTTTTTTATATTTTATATTTCGCTATATGTACTCATTACAAACCACCTCAGACTTTGGTTTTAAACTAAGCTGCAACATTGTATACACAAACCACATAGGTACATTGTACACGTAATAGGATTTTATCGATAATATCAGTTAAATTAAACATCAGAACATTGATAATATGAAGCATATTCCAATTTTGTACATGCATCTGACAAATGATATTTCAATGTTATTTGCTAAGTGGTAATTGCTAAGAAAAACCTGTATTAAACATCATGGCTAAAGCTGATTTACTCTTAGCAGAAACTAAGCCACTAAAACAATGAAATATGTGACAAAACTTGGTGTTCCTGTATTGTACAAAAGTAAAAACGAATATTAAGCATTAAATTTTAATTGTTTAAATACAAATATGTTATTTTGTTTTCTTGCTACCACTTTTTGAATTAGTTTTAGCTTTCTTCTTACTTTTTGGATTTGCATATTTTGCTTCAAGGCTAGAAAAGAAGTCGTTCATTTCTTGTTGCCTTGAATTTTGTTTTCTTTTGATCATAGCTTGTAAAGCATCCTCGCTATCACCTAATCCAAGTCTCTTGGCAACATCCTCAGCTTCAGCTGCTTCTGCCATTGCCTGTAAAATAATACAACATAATTATTTTTCTGTAAATGAGTTTTAATTATTGTAACAAAAACATAGACAATTTTATTTTATTTTAATTAAATATTTAAATTAGATAGAAATAAACATTTGTATTTCCAAAAAACTTAATACATAATCAAACTGAGAAACTTGTAATAAGACCTATAAAACCTCTCATTTTTGATGTAAAAAATGTTTGCATATTGTGATGAAAGAATATCCATACTGCATTATGTGATTATATGCAAGTAACACAATAGATGTTCTAGTTTCTCCTTTTCCACACACCTGCAGACACACCAAGATGCGAGTGTGTCATAAATAATACCTATTCATATGCATACAATCATAGGATGTTTTATTTGATACATCATGATATATAGCACTGAAATGTATCTCCTTTAGTCATTCACTTTGTACAGAATCACTAGATGATGAAAAGAATATCTGCACTAGAGTACGTAATTTTATGGGGAGACTTTAAAAAGTGGACACACATACATGTAGCCTGCAAACACTCACCTTTCTCATTATTTTCTTGTAATCAGTCTGCCATGATCGAAAAACGGCTTTATAGTTAGTAGTATACCTCATGTAGTGAGCAGTACATAATAGTACTTGTATGATAGTGTACATGAATTTGTAAATTTGCTAGTATTAGATAAACTAGTGCAAGGCCTCACTATTACAAGAGAGGCAAATAACAGGCAAAAATATATTGCAGGCATTTTAATTTTAGTGCTACAATGCAATTGCATGAACAGCACAAATTATTTCCAATTCTACACTCAGTTGAAATCTGAAGACCAGGAATTCTCACCTTGCCACAGAAAACAATCAACACAATATCATCATTTAAATAGGCCAAAGCTGTTTTGAACAGCTCCAAACTTAAGGCTAACCAGGTGAGCTTTGCAAAAATATAATTGAATTATTGTAATATGGTCACACATTAACACAAGTTTGTGTGAATCTAGTGGGAAAACAAGACAGCACTGCAAAAGGAATATATGCTGTATATGTCCGATATTCCACCTTGAGCAATGCTTCAAACACTGCCCAGGGCGATCTTTAGGCACATTTTTTAATCGCTATCTCAGTCCATTATAGTCTCAATAAAATAGTCATGACAAGGGTTACAAGATATCAAGAATAATCCTGTCAGTATTATAAGTGAGACTTTTACAATCTAAAAGACATTTTTTTTCGTGGTATATTTTTTATGTAATATAATAAATATGCATTAGTTTTAACTTCATTGGTATTTTTGAGTATTTAAAACGCTGATTATTACTCAGTCATGATGATAATAGCATCAATTTGTAACGAAATACAAGTAAAATTCAACTTATTTTCAATTAACACTCAATGTAAAATTATATTTGTTTCATCCATGGGTTGACCTGAAACTGTGTCATTTTACCTGATAGGTCAAGCCAGTTGTTAACCAATCAGAATGCTCAGTGGTGCCAGTCAAAAGTATTCAAGAATTTCTGATTAGCATCAGATGCAAATTGCAACACAAAACAGAAATGATTCACAAGTGTTACAGTTACGGATGTTTGCCACTGATTTTTATGGGAAAAAAATGGCACAATATTTTGTAAAAGAAACAATAAATTGGGATTTTGGGGAGATGAACTTGTTTAAGGTAGTCACAATTTCACATCATATTCTTGAACAGGTGTCAGTGGCTACAAATTATGTAAACTGAACTCCAATTTAGGTGTCTATATGATTCACAAGTGTTACAGTTACGGATGTTTGCCACTGATTTTTATGGGAAAAAAATGGCACAATATTTTGTAAAAGAAACAATAAATTGGGATTTTGGGGAGATGAACTTGTTTAAGGTAGTCACAATTTCACATCATATTCTTGAACAGGTGTCAGTGGCTACAAATTATGTAAACTGAACTCCAATTTAGGTGTCTATATAGATTGAAATGTTCTAATACTGACTCCTAAATACTTACAGGACATTTCTGACACTTTGATCTGCACTAGATATTTTCTGTGACTCAAATATAAATTGCTGAAACATTGCGATTTTGGATGAGTGATGTATTAGATAAATATGGTATATATAAGAAACCAAAAAACAATAGCATACAATACCTTTTTCTTTCTGGCTTTTTTCATCTTCTTGTTTTCCTTTGTAAATGCATCAAATGGTGGTAATTCAGTTTTATCAACACAGTCTTTCAGAATGGTTTGAAATCTGTCTTCATCTTCAAATGTAGCACACAATACTGTATTTAATATCATTTCCATATCACCTTGGCAACTCATGTAAGCACTTTTCAAATCATTTAACTCTTCATCAGAACCTGTAAGAACCAAAGTGAAGGTTGCATTCATAAATAGATGACAAATGATGTCTAGAAAACAAGTGGGTTTTGTTGTTTGTTGTAAATAATCTACTTTATGACTACCGGTAATATGAATATATTCATAATTAATATATGACATTTTCCTTCAAGGTTGGAATATTTTGCCAAAAAAATGAAATATTTTTTCACAGAGGTGGTAGATATAATGCTGTGATTGTTTTGTTATCACATGTATACTAACTATTTAGAGGTATGGCAGGTATTTTTAGCAAACTAGTAAAACAATTACCACATGTCATATCTGACTAGGAGCATTCAGAAATTCACCCCCAGTAACTGACTCAATGATGTGAATTTACCATGATCAGCTGACCAATAGGGGTTAACAAACATGATATATACCTTTGTATTTCTCTTCAAATTCTTTGATATCTTTAACGGAAAGTTCTTTGTATATTAATTTCCAGTATGCCAACCAATCACGGTTCTGTTCTACATCTATTTCATCATCAACCTCACCTACAAAAACACAATACACATCGTGTTGGTCAGTAATGTAACACTGCAATAAACATGGAATATACAGCTTTAATTTGTAATCAAATAAAATAAATTACACAATGTGAAGCCATGGTTGTTCCAAAGCACAAGTTCGATATTTGTCCCACATAAACCAGTAAGCACATACATTGTTTTTTGGCTCTCCGCTCCACTAGGATTGCCCTTAAAATCACTTTTGTGTGTGGTGTCAGCGTTATTTTCTGTCTTCACATATTATTCTTCTGTTATTTTTTTGGCTGGAACTAATTCGCCCACTGTTGCCATGGTAACACCAAACAAACTTATTTTTTAATAGCTTTGTAACAAATGAATCTCCTCCTACAAATTTAGGACTAAAACTGTTGGACACAGCTCATTCTATTCACCTTGAGTGTGGGCAGAAGAATACTATTTGCTTTTTGACATCACTGAGAAATTTGACCTTAAAGTTGGTGTAACTTCTCACAGGGAACAGCTTTTTAACTTCTCTGATTTTTTTGGGCTAGGCCGATTTCGTCTATACTTTTCGTTCATATTGTTGAGTGGTAAAATCTGAAATAAAATTCTGACTCACTGTTGCCATGGCAACAGTCCCAAAACACTGATTTTTGAATACTTTTGTTTCAAATGTATTTGTATTTCCTACCAGTCTTGTATTACCGGTAACAGTGTTCAAATGATCATGCTTTTTATTTTGGCCAAGTTGCACACTGACAAGAGATCTCAGGCACCGACATTGTTTCACTGTAACAACATAAGTCCCAACACAACTATGAACTTTGACTGGACTGTAAATGCTGTGTTCAATCAAAGAATCTAGAAAATACAATCACAAAACAGTTGGGAAAAAAAAAAGTTTGTAATTTAATTGAAATCTAGGTTAAAGGGTCAACTTGCGTGAATATAATGATAACATCAAAAGATGTACATTTTGTACTAGTAATATAGTGGTGTGACCTCAGAAGACTGAATGCTCGTTGCGAGCGTATATGGGGCCCCAGTTTTAGTTATAAACCAACGTTAGCTTCGTTAGCTTTGTTCTATCATGGCAACAGCCGAAAACATGTTGTTTGTTTTTTTCAGCGAAGCGAATTGCCCATCAGCCTACATGCTTGTTTAAATTTCACACTTCTTGGCAACAACCACCTTATAACAAAATGATATTACCTGATTCATCGTATAAAGCTCTCCTGTTAGTGTCAGAAAGTAATGTATAAATTTGACTCAAAACTTGGAATTTTTGAGTAGCATCTTCCTTATCCACATCTTGTACTCTATCCGGATGAAATGATAAAGACTGACGATAATATCCACGTTTGACTGAAATTAAAAATAAAAAAAACATTCTTGATACCTGTGAGTGAATCGTGCAACCACAAGTATGTTATGATAGTAAATACAACACACTTCAGAAAAGCATAAACCACATTTCCTTGTTTCCTTGTTTAAATGCAGC